GTCAAACAACCATGTGCACATAAACATACAATCATATAACAATTCATATTCAAACAAACCGATCTAGCAGATCACGTAACACAACATACTCTAAGCAGTATACCGACCTAACCAGGTCACTAGCATAGCATCAACCTATATACCGGATACCGACCTTAACTAGGTCTCTAACGAATACCATCCTAACTACCAGGATGCAAACATAGTAAAACAGCCACATAATAACAATACCCAGATTACAATTCGATAAAGGGCCGACCTTGGTGCCTTAGACCCTGTTGATATAGTGAGGATAACTCACCTGGCAACTGCTAACTGAAAGGATAAGATAACGCTGCTGAAATCTCCGACCCGAACTCCACCACTGATAATACCAAAAGACTGAACTCAATAAATACCAATAATTACCAAAATACCCCTGGAAGTCAACTGGTCAACCCTTGGTCAAAGTCAAAGTCAACCTTTTGGCTGACTCAACTCGCCGAGACAGCCCACTGACTCGCCGAGTCCCCCAATACTAAAAAGGACCCCCTTCCAACTCACTGAGTCATCCCTGAACTCACCGATTCTTAGCTTAACCAGGAAAGGCTAAGACCTCAAGAACAGACTCGCCGAGTCCATGAAAAGATTCGCCGAGTCCAAGGCTATCTTCAACCAACTCGCCGAGTTGTTCTTCAAACTCGTCGAGTTCCTACGCGCCTTCAAGCAACTCGCCGAGTACACCCTTGTGACTCGTCGAGTACCACTTGTTCTTAACCCATACAGAAGCCTTTCAGGCCATGAAATTGATCCAAAACGTAGATCTACCCTTCTACAACCTTTCCATCACGTAAAGTGGCAAACTTTACGTGAATCCAAAGAGATCTAGGCATTTTACACTCTAGGGCTAGGGTTTGGGACAAGATGGCTTCACCAATCACTCAATAACAGGGACTTTAATGCACTCTAGACCTTCTCCATTCCAGATCTGAGGTAGCAACCTCAGATCTAACCTTCAAACTCAAGATACCACAATCTAAGCTTCCCATACAACCCAAAAATGATGAATCTAGAAGAAAACAGCCCAAGAACGAGATATTACCTCAAAATGAAGCCCCTAACAGCAAGGAATCCGAATCTAAGCAAAGCCCCTTGCTCCAAGCCTCCTAATTCTCCAAGTTCTTCTTCCAACTTTCTTCTTCCAACTTTCTTCTTCAAGGCTCAAATGCACTCAAAATCTTCACAAACGCGTATCTAGGGTTTTTTGGACTTCAAAAGAGATTAAAGAGGCTGGGGGAGAGGGTATAATGTCCTTTATATAGGGCTCATCCCCCGAAATTAGGGTTTTCTCCACTCAGCGCCTACTCACCGAGTCCAGCCTTGGACTCGCCGAGTTGGCCACTTAACACGCGACCTGAGTCCCGACCCTACTCGCCGAGTCCACCATGGACTCGCCGAGTTGCCCTTCAAATTTACACTTTGAACCCCGAACTTGCACTCCTGGACTCAGGATGTTGCATCGTTTCAACCTCAAAAATCTCGCACCTATCCTCCGATGCTTCCATGTTTCCTCTGAGCTTAAAGTGAAGTTTCATAAGTCGAGAGTCTTTGGGATTGGGGTAAACATACAATAAACTACAAATTGGGAAAACATATTAGGATGTGAGGTGAGAATAGTTCCCTTCAACTACCTTGGTGTTTCAATTGGATCTAACATGAATCTTGTTAAAACTAGACGCCCATCATTAAGAAATTTAATTCCAAGTTATCTATTTAGAAGGCAAAACCGCTATCATTTGGGGGTAGATTAACACTAGTAAAATCGGTGCTCGGGAATCTCACTACATACTTTCGCTCTCGCTCTCTCTCTCTCTCTCTCTCTCTCTCTCTTTCTCTTTCTCTCTTTCTCTCTCTCTCTCTCTCTTTAAAGCTATTATTGGGGTGATTGAGGAGATGGAGAAAATCAGAAGGAAATTTTTATTAGGTGGACATGAAGACAAGCAGAAGATTCATTGGGTATCATGGGACAAAGTAATTGCCTCAAAAAATAATGGTGGGCTAGGGGATGGATCAATTCTTGCACTGAATATCAGCATACTTATGAAGTGGTCATGGAGATCAAAATCAGAAAATAGTTCCTAATAGAGTTGGGTAATCATAGGAATCCACAACCTATCTGGAAAAGCCTTTGATCAGGTAGCAAAAAAATCAAGCAGTAGAGTATGGAGTAATATTGTGAGTATTCAGAAAGAACTAAAGATGCAAAACTTAGATACCAAAGATTTATTGGAGCCAATAATCAGATCTGATGATAAGCATTGTTCTGGCTCGACATATGGACTGGGCTGAAACATTGAAAACCAAATACCCCAGGCTATTTGAGTTGGATACAAGGAAAACATGTACAGTGGCGGATAGAGTAGCAGTCAACAGGAATTGTTAGGACTAGAACACATGCCCTGATTCGGCAGGATTATCCTCACAGCTGGATTCCTTATTACGAATGTTGCTCTTACTCGTCTTGCAACTGGAACAAATCATTGGAGATATAAACCAGTCGTAGATGGTAATTACACGGTTAACTCTTTAAGATGCAAAATCGATCAACATCATCAAGCTACCCTGACAACATCCGTAATTAAATGGCGAAGAGAAATCCCCTGTAAAGTAAATTTATTTTGTCTGGAAGGCTACACAAGAAAGAATCCCTTCAACTGATGCATTACGTAAGAGTGGTATTAATTGGTGTGGTCTACAAAAAATTTATGTTAACAATGTGGAAGAACTGATCCAGTATGTAGCCTCTTGGGGTAGATGTCCAAAAAACGTAATCGATTCTCAATCATCTGATACGGTATGCATTGGAATTTATGGATATACAGGAACGAGAGGTTATTTCAATAGGTGCTTACCTTACCTTATAATGGCGCATAAAACATAAAATCTACGGTGTATTTAGGGCTAAAACACAAGGGTATTGGGGTAATTTGTAACAAGGGAGAGTGGATATCATACCCTTTCTTTGATTTGTGATTTCAAAACTATACTTTGTATTGTTTCTTCCTATGTGGCTTTCGTCTAGTTAGTTGTTGGACGGATGTTCCGTTTTTTATAATATATTTGCCTTTTTTTTTTTTTTTTTTTTTTTTTTTAAAATTACAATTTAATGCTTCTTGGATTGATAGTCATAGGGAAGGTCACCCGTTAATTTGGATTAACAACCCCTTTGGATGGATTGTACGGTTACTTTTTGTTTTGGTTTTTTTTTTCCAACATTTTCCTTGCTTTTTTTTTTTTTTCATTATAATTATTTATGTTGAAAAGTTTATTCTTGATCTAGGAACCCAAAATCGAAAGTTGGTAACTTTTAAGTGTGACTTGAAAATTGATTACATGTCCAAACAAAATAAATAAAACCCCATACCCAACGTCGACTTGATAAATAGCCAAGCTACACAAAACAAACACTTATCTCGTCACAAGTATGGACCTTCATAGATATGTATATCTGGACACTCTTGACTCTTTAGAGTTTCTTAGTGTGTACTATGCTCATATAATTAATGAAGCCTGTTAGTTAGGGTTTTATCTATATTGAAAATCTTTTTTAAGTTTATGAATAAGAATATTATCTTGTGTGGAGTGAACCATATTAAATATTGTATCTTTATGTGTCTAATTTATTCTGGTTTATTCGAATGTCGATTTCCGTTGCCAGAAATGATTGTGGGACAGGAAGATATGTGGTGACCGTGAACAAACAGCCTTGCTACCTTGTCATTTACCGTAAGTTTGAGATGTTCTTTTGTTTCGTTTTCTTTTCCATATTTGTTTAATTTCGATGTGTCATTCTTTTATCGTGACACTTTTTTACATCTATACTCAACACATATCATTCCCGTTTCCCAAATCAACATTTTAAACTCATAACATGAGAAAACGTCACAATTAGAAAAGTGAAATTTCGTCCTTGACTTGTCAACTTCTCCCCTTTTAACTCAGTTCTATATCCGATATTATTTTTGACAATTTTCTGTTATGATTCTATGTATCTAAGAGCATCATCTATCATAAAAGAGCAGCTAGTTCTCACAAAGTTTTTCTGGTGACAAGTCAATGTCTTATTCTATGACCTAAAAATCTTAACAAATATCTACATTAAATCAGGGTTTTTTATTTATTTATTTATTTATTATTTTTTTTAATAACTTCTTTTATTGGTTCCACAATGTGTTATAAGTAAAAAATTAATAAAATAATATTAAGATTTTTTCTAACATTTGCCTAGGACATACATACCAATCATTAATAAATGATAACTATTATCATAAATTAATATAAAATATACTAATTATAAGTAATATTATTATATTTAAATTTAAATTTATTAATAATCTTCATAAGAAATAAATTTTATATATTAAAAAATACCAATAATTAATATTTTTTATATGTATCTTTAAGACACATATTAAAAAATTCCAATAATATTAGCTAGTATGCGATAAGCTCGTTGATAAATCTTTATCTTGAAAAAGCTTTCTCCCATATTTTTTTTCTTCAAAATTTTAATTTATTTGTTTGATGAAACTTTAGAAAAAAAGCCCAAAAAACGCTCTCAAATATCTAGTATAATGACATCTCCGACAATATACATGATTGAATTGATACATTTCGTACGTCAAATTAGCCTGAATGATGCAAATTCAATAGCACCAAAACCATTATTACAGGAAAATAAATAAATAAATAAAAATAAAAAATATAACATCAAGTTCGGTGTCCCTTTTGTGTCCACTTATTCAACCTGGTTATAGTTTTAACGGTGTCATCTTTTGTGATCGTTGCTCCATAACAAAACTAACCCTAATAATTCACGACACAAACCACGAGAACGCTAGGCTTTGGCTCATATCATCGCTCCCATCAATCAAATCGTTTTGGTGAGTTTATTTGCCCACCAACGCATATATTTCCACGACTGTGGAAATAAGTTTGATGATCAGTGATCACCCATGAGAATGTTAGACCGGAGAAGCAAGCAGATCAACCATGGTGACGATCTGGACGATGAAAGTCGCCAAATTTCGTTCACAACCGAATGTTATGCATGCACTCAAGTAGGTGTTCCGGTGTTCCACTCCACTAGCTGCAACCAAGCTCAGCAACCGGAATGGGAAGCTTCCGCCGGCTCATCCCTCATCCCCATCCGCAACAGACCGGGTTCCGAGATCATCAAGAACCGATATTCCTCCGGAAAACGGAGACCACTATCGTCTTCGGGGTTTTTGTTCAGGCGAGTGTATGATCCACGGAGCAAAAGTGTACAAAGGTGGAATAGGTTTGTGTTGCTTGCTCGTGCTATGTCGTTGGCTGTTGATCCATTGTTCTTCTATTCGCTGTCAATAGGCCGTGGGGGTACGCCGTGTCTTTACATGGACGGCGGTCTTGCGGCGGTTGTGGCCTTGCTGCGGACTTTGATTGACTGCTTCCATGTCGTCCACATATGGTTACAGTTTCGGGTGGCTTATGTGTCACGTGAGTCGCTTGTGGTTGGTTGTGGGAAGCTAGTGTGGGACCCGAAGTCTATCGCATTGCACTATGTACGTTCACTTAAAGGCTTCTGGTACGACATGTTCGTCATACTACCGGTTCCTCAGGTATTTCGGATAACCTACTTTCCATCTTCCACGTCTTTGCTATTAATTATTAAAGACAAAACTTTACTTCCTATAGTTTCAAAAACTTTTAATATTTAATCTTTCCAACTCTATCAGCTTTCTACCATTAACTTAGGTTATTTTCGTAATTTCAATACCAAAGATCATTTAGGAAGACTTTCTATTATTTTAAATAAAAAGAAAAATTGCCCCTCTCTCTTTTTGATTGACCACACATCTTCCCATTTCTAATTTCTATCATGTTTTCTGTTATATTAATATATTTTATGAATAATCGTAAAAATTATAAAACTTAAATTTAATATATAAAAACCGTTAAAAGGCCGTATCACAAAAGGGCCTTAGAACTATCTAAACTTCTTTGTTAAAAAAACTAAAATTTTAATAATATATATATATATATATATATATATATATATATATATATATATATATATATATATATATATATATATATATATATATATATATATATAAAGAAAACACACAAAATACGTAGCAACATGAACTCAACCTAAACTATTTCTCCGGAGTGAACGGAAACTTTTATAAGAGGTAATACAAAAAAAATCCTAAATAAAAGTTAATAAGAAAATGATGTTTTCAAGGTTGATGTGGCCACCAAACGGAACAATATTAACTTTGGGTTAAATGGTTTTTGGGTTATTTGAGTTTGGTTTGGTTTACCGAAATTAGTTAATATTTTATTTATTTATTTCAGTTTTTGATTGCTTGTTTGATTATAAATAAAATTCTATATACTCATTCCGTCTCAAAATTATTGTGTACAGAAAAAGCACACAGTTTAATAAACATTAATTACCATTAACTTTATTAATTGAATTGATAGTTTTACTCATGTGTTGCGTTTAATTTCATGGTAAGTGAACTAATAATAAGGATATTTTAGTAAAAATGATATTTATTTTCAGAAATAGACTATTATTTTGAGACATACAAAAAAAAATATGGATTATTAATATGGGACTGAGAGAATAGTACCTAACATAGTTAATGTATATGTTACATCTCAATAAAATTATTATGTATTGAGGGATTTTATTATATGATACATTGTGTATTTGCCTACACAATATAAATAAAGGAAAAGGGCATAATTGGGCCTTGCGGCTAACAAGACTGATAAAAGTGATGTCACAGAAATCGTATTTACTTCCCTCCCTGCCATTTGAACGACACGTTAGTTTTTACCATAAAATTGTGGTTCGTTGTCACACCCAATGAGGTGTGACACATTTTTTAAACAATTTAATTTAAGTAAAAACTTTAATTTTCATTAAAAAAAATATAACATTTCATTACTTCTAAATTAAAATCCCTTACATTACGTTACATAAAAAAACCATAATATTACATTAAAAAATCCTAAAAACTTAGCCAAAAAAAAAAAAAAAAAAATGAAACGAAGACGAATAAATCGGTTGATTATATTAAGGTCTAGAGATTGTGATTTTTCTAGTGGATGTTTATTTGGTTGTTTGGTTTGTTGGAAGATGACATCTTCAAAAATTTTAAGTAAGAGATGGTAAAATATGAAGGAAGCTAAGTGAAGTTTGGTAAAAAGGATGGGTTATATATATGTAATATATAGATAAAATAAAAAATATATAGTTTTTGAATTTTTTGATCGTTAAAAAGGTTATTTTATGGTCAGCCAATCAAAAAACATGGTAGAAAATGGAAAGATGCGTGGTCAAACCGCACCCAAAACCATATATGAGGTGCGGTGTGGCACTTGGTGTGGCTAAACTGCATGTCACTCCTCCCAATCTAATTCATATAGGATTTAATGGGCTAATTAATTGATTTAGTATTTAGTTAATACAATATATATTTATAATTAGTTGTGAGATCCATATATTATAAGAAAATAAGAAAAAAATGAATTATTATAATGAAAATATTTTTATCTTTTAAATTTAAATAAATAAACAAAAGAAACTATTCAACTTTAATTTTGGGAATTTTAAAATTAAAATGTTAGGAGATTAATTAAATTGATATTTAATTATTACAATATTTATTGTAATTATTATATTAAAATATTATGTGAAAATTCAATAAAATAAAGAAACTCCTAAAATAACAAAAATAACAAGTAAAAAAAAAAACTCTTTTATTTCTTAGAGTAGATAAAAATGTTTAAAATGTTTATGACTTGTGGTAAGAAAATAATAGATAGCACGTGATATATATATATATATATATATATATATATATATATATATATATATATATATATATATATATATATATATATATATATATATATATATATATATATTAGCTTCGCCACTACATCTTGATATTTAACACAAACAACATAACACGGTGTTTTACCCTATATCATGGTTACATACCATTCACCAAATAAAAAATAAATAAATAAAGTTTTTGTTGAGTGATTATAAACTTAGAAATAAGTGTTAATTTATAGCAAATTGTCATATATATATATATATATATATATATATATATATATATATATATATATATATATATATATATATATATATATATATTAAAAGGCAAAAATGTTATCATCCTAAACATACTATTCTAACAGTCAAAAAAAGGATAATCGCTACGATGAGAGCATCTCGTGTGGCAAAGATACCGTAATTTTCTTTCATGTTCGGTAAGGTGTTTCCCGTACACTACGGTGCCACCTCAGATACCATGGTGTGGAGTACATGGTACACTATAGGGTCTAATTATGTTGTTTTATTATATACCTTTTTAGTTTTAGAGTTTAAAATAATGACAAAATTTAAAATCAAATATTAAATTTAGTATATTAGTTAGGACTAATATCATAAAATTATAAGCTTTTAACGTGTAATTGAAAAAACCCCTAATATTTTTTAATTGCTATGACCACAACTTTCTCACAGAATTATCATTATATCCCACTTAACGAGGTTCATGGTTAACTTTGTTATTTTGTAACACCTCAAATTTTAAAACAAATTGTTCAATTTTAATTTTATGAAAATAAAGTTTGACAATCCATGTCATCAAAAACATAAGTGTCTAAAACAAACATCATTACAATTTATCAGAGTATCTTAAACTGTCCCAGTAACAAATCTCCCAACGAGTGTGTATAATCAGACATTCGCCTTCCCACGGTTCTTAAAAGTATCTAAAACACATAAATCAATAATTGTAAGCACGAAGCTTCGTGGGTTCCCCGAAATATCTCCTACAACACATCATAAAATAAACAATTATGGTTATCACCAACCTTGGGGATTATCAGTAGTCCCATTGGGCAACAACACGCCCTATGGGTTGTCAGCAACCCTGAAGACTATCCCCAGTCTCAGTCATACATACACAGTCTAATGTAAGATATATGTTAGACCCAGCTAGTCACCACAAATACAGATATTCTACCACATAGGTAGGCATAAGTGAGAAAACTCACCTGATATTGATGACAGCTAAATCTCTCACCTGAACTACTGGAACTAGACTTCGTCTAATGGGCAATAAGAACCTTGGGGATTATCAGTAGTCCCATTGGGCAACAACACGCCCTATGGGTTGTCAGCAACCCTAAAGACTATCCCCAGTCTCAGTCACACATACACAATCCAATGTAAGATATTTGTTAGACCCAGCTGGTCACCACAAATACATATATTCTACCACATAGGTAGGCATAAGTGAGAAAAATCACCTAGAACTAGACTTCGTCTAATGGTTATCAGCAACCTTGGGGATTATCAGTAGTCCCATTGGGCAACAACACGCCCTATGGGTTGTCAGCAACCCTGAAGACTATCCCCAGTGTCAGTCACACATGCACAGTCTAATGTAAGATATCTGTTAGACCCAACTGGTTACCACAAATACAGATATTCTACAAGATAGGTAGGCATAAGTAAGAAAACTCACCTGATACTGATGACAACTAAATCTCTCTCCTGAACTACTGGAACTAGACTTCGTCTAATCAACAAAAGAATTAACCCAAATTAAAAATTGAGGTCCATAACTCAACTCGCGATTCGAAATCCCAAAACTAACTCTCTTAAGGGTAAAAAGACCATTTTTCCCTTCCCATGTTCTAAAACCCTGATTCTTGGCCAAATGTCAAAAATCAACGAAAGTCAACTACCCAACGCGTACGCTCGATGTACCCCTTCTTACGCGGGGTGTACAACTCGATCAGTGACCCATCATGGACGAGACTGGTTATGTGGGGCTTAGCCAGGAGTATGCTCAACATACTCTGCTTGATCTAACTTCATCAACTTTCATGTTTTAATCCATTAAGATACCGATCTTAATTTCAGATCTGACCATCCTATGTTGACTTAACCCATAAACGCTTCGACTTTAAGCTTTTTCATGGCTAGAAAGGACCCAATGCAACAAGCCTTAACTTCCATCACACTCTAAGTTACTTTAGTCATGCATAGGCCAAAAGAAATGATCAAGCAACCATTTTTATGAATCTATAAGGCCTACAATGCATGAAAGGACAACTAATATTCTATGGAGTGCCCCAAAATCATATAGTTCCAAACTTTAAGACAAAAATCTCATAAAACTAAACCCTGGAGATAAAAAAAACATAACCAATTAATGTATAAACTTTATACATGAAAAAGACGCACAATGAGGAGTAGTTTATGGATCTACAAGCTTCAAGCAACACCTTCTTCTTCTCTAGCCTTATTCTTCAACAAACATGCACCAAAACCACTTAATAAGCTCTCAAATTCTCACAAACAAGCTTAGACTTAAGATTACGCTTTTTGAGGGAATGGTGACTGATAACGAATGTCTAAGGGAGACATAAGTTAGTTTAAATAGGGAGCATCCCTTAAAACTAGCGTTTAGGGACTGGGCTAGTACGCCCGGTGTACCGTACATATGCTCCGCGTAGTAGCAAGTCTTTCACGATCCTGAATCTTATGAGTACGTTGCATACACCCTCATGTACG